TGGGTGGGGTGGGGGATTAACTTGAATATATTTTTTATGTTATGGAGATATAACACAAAAAAACGGAGTGTACTCTAAATAAACCGCAAAGCGGTTTATGATGAGAGTACACTCTGTTTTTTTGTTATAGAGAAAAGAAAAATTCTAATAAAAAATACTCTATTCTTATCCATTTATACAATCAACTCTTAATTGGAATTCCATAAAGTAGCAAAGAAATTATAAAAAAATTGTGGACAATTTATCATCAAATTGGTTTTCATAACCAAATTTTAATTATTGTTACAGTAATACTCAGAATTTTTCACAGGGGTATGAAATTCGTTATAAAAGATTTGTTCACAGAATATTGCATGGATGGAATATTTAATCTGCACACAGGATGTGTATCGATATCCTACACAGAACATTCAATTTCTAGATTTTCATTATCACCTTGATCTTAAACCACATAAGAATTTAATTTTTGAGTGTAACTAATAAATTATTCCCAGTCATGAGCTTATACCTTTTGCAGGGGGAGTAAACCGTTTTTCATAAAATGTGTTTGCAGTTATTTGCTTGAATGATGAAATGAATCTAGACACTTCCCCATAGCCTGGCTAAAGGTAACATGTATACCTAAATAACACAACCTCCTTTACTTTTAATATATTTTCAGTGATACAGAATACAAACTTGCAAGATTTCATTTTTTGCACGGACTGTCAATTTTTATGTGGATTGTGTTGGTGTGAAGATCAAGAGAAAACGACAAAAAATGAAAGTGGACTCCACAGTGTTGTAGCACTTCAAAGCAGCTTCTTATCAAAGTGGGGAAACAAGTGATTTTGTTATGAAGGTTTGCACAGGTAAATGACAGAAAATTGCCTCAGAGTAATACAATGTTATAAAGCCTAAAGTTACTGATCCAAACCGAGACAAGTTGTAATACCTCTGTATGCCGAGAAGAATTTTGTGACTCGACATTTTAATTCTCATGAACCCAAATCTACAGAGGGGTTATTAAAAATTTGCATGCAATATTGTGCCAGAACATTCATGAACCTGATGCAGTTTCCAAATCTAATCTGATAGCTTAGGCCAAAACGGAAATGCAATAATGTCACACAATGATACATTATAATTGCTGCATGAGGCATTATTGTAATTACCAACACTGACATCAGGGACAGTGCAGTCACACACTTAAATGATTTGAATGAAGACCCATACAGATCACAAATCCTTTAATAACACAGACAGAACTAAAATATCTGTAGGTAATTGTATGTGCTAATTGTATAAATTGTATACCGGTACCTATCTATGTACTGTAAAGCACTTCAGAGTGGCTTATTCTAGCTAGATAGGGCGCTATATCAAATGTTGTATATTATATTATATTATCGTATACCAATATCAAGGAGGATTATATTTTACTATTATATGTATAAGATTCAAATTAATCTCCCAGTGTGCACAGAGGGAAGTTCTTCGGAGTGTTTGACTTAGCAAAATATATTACACAGAGAATTGAATAAAAGAAATGATTTCTTACAAATGTTATGAGGAATATAATCGTGTCTCTACACTAATTTGGGTGTGTATGTGGGTGAGAATGACAGCTTAGTGTTGTAGGGTTTACACTTATATATTTAGAACTAATGAGCAGAGTAACCAAGTTCAAGGTCATAAAGAACTGAACTAGAAATGGCTGACTTAATTACAATATACATGTACAGAGTATATACAAAACATTCTAACACGATTCGTTTGCAACGCCTGTTTTGATTGGATACGGACCATGTTCTAATCTGCGATAGAATCATGATCAATCGTGTCCTCCCATCGCACTTAACCAAAACAATATGGCGTCAAGTTCGCCTCTTAGCGAAATCCTGCTGATAAGGCTACCAGGAAACAGAACAGAAACGACCGATGAAATGTATTTGTTGAATGAATTAAAAGGAAAAAGTACACATTACTTGTACCTCCATTTATTACTGAAACGTTTGTTCCATGCGTATGAAGGCATCTATTTAGATCTTTAATCAAATGAAACATTTCACATGTGTCAAACTCTTCACAAATCTATACAAATAATCACCGATTTTGTCGATAAGCTTTTTGTTTGTTTGTTTGTTTGATTTTGTTTAACGTCCTATTAACAGCTGCCGACTTTATAGTGCTACCTCACTGAAACATACTGCCGAAGACACCCAGCAGGACGACCCACAGATTGGTATGCATACTGACATGAATATGTAAGAACTTGGTCAATATTAATCCAAATGTGTGGTATAAACTTTGGTAACAGGACGTTCACGAAAAATCCAAATATTCCGCCTCGTCAACATACAGATCGAGCGCTCGCCAGTATGGGCGGGGCCAAATTACAGACTTTTGAAAGCTTCTTTCCAATTGGTCAGTCCGCTGCAGAATGACACGTCGCCAGTTCAGGTCACAAAGTATTTTACTACGTACTTTTGTACAAGGAAATACAATGTTTCTAAACATATTAGCGTAGTATATTTGTTAAGGTGTGTTAGAATGGGGATAGTACCTTGTTTTTTGTTACCTATCGGTCTCAAGTTCAAACACAAATTTCATGTTCTAATCGCTAGTATAGCCACTCAAAACAACGTACTATCTTAATAGCTGTGGTGTTAATGTGATCCATCTTTCTTTCTGTAATTTAACTGAGGATTTTGAACGACCTGTACAGCTGTTGGGTATATTACAGGTAATGTTTGGTGTAACCTGACCCAGTATTTTAGATTTAGATATGTAGGTCCTTCAAAACATTTTCTGTTTTTTTTTTTTAATTTGACAAAGGAAAACACTCTAATCAACTAATAAGTCACTTTGGGATGTCACCTGGGGCACTTTAATTACCAAGGGTAGGACCCCCAATCACCTGAGCTAAGCATATTTTAGACTGTATTCAGTATATAAGGATTGTGTTGCTGAAAAAAACGAA